TTTGACACTTATTTTATTAATGAAAATAATTTGTCAGATTCTATTTAAGCAATCCCTGTTATTAATAATAATAAAACTTGAAGATAGAACAATTTTATATCTTATTTTTTATTTTTTTATTTTAATTGTAAATTTTTTATCTTATGCCCAAATAAATCATAGTAGCAAAGAAAAGATAAAAGCATAAAATCAAAATAACATATCTAAAATATAATGATACAAGCATTATAAAGCAAAGCAAATAAAATATAAATTATAATACAAAAATAATATATAACTTAACAAATGTGCTAATGATTTTTTATAATACTAGTACTAAATAAAGTTATATAAAAGTTAATACCACAAAAACATCTAAAATTATTAGATAATAAAAAATTGTCTAAAAAATAAAAGTGAATAACAAAATAATAAAAAATAATAATCAAATATCCAGATATTGTATTTACTGCACTATTTGTCATTATATTAAATTTTTTTTAAAAATAAAAATATAAAAAAAATTAAAAGTAATTAATTCAATACAAAATATTATGTTATGTATATTATTATAACAAAATTATACATATAAAAAAAGCTAAAAAATTTTCAATATAACTATTAAACCAATTTGAAAAGTTGTAAGTATAATTTAGTCATATTGATTCTTTCTTCTAGAAATTTTCCCATGCTTTAAAAATTAAAATAATAGTTATATAATTGTAAATTTTAATTTTTGTTTTTTATGTAATCTAAAAAAATTTACCAATTTGAATAATATTTATAAAATTTTCATGAATAACTTTATTTTCTAGGTTAAGAAAATTATCACAAATTTTTCTATTTTCTTTTATAACATAAATTATAATATCATTTGATTCTATATTGCTATACAGAATCTTCTAGTAAGCTAATTCCTATATAAGCATACTATAACTATAATAAGAAATTAACAAATCATCAAGAAAATTAATAATTATTAATTGACTATAGCAAACTTAAACTAATAACTAAATCAAAAAGGCTACTTGAAAGTTTTATCTTTTTGACTATATGGAAATTAATATAAATTCTTAGATTCTTTCAATAGTTTGTGTATTTTCTCAGGAGCTATCTAATTAATAATATCTATTAACAGCCAGTATTATTAAGGGTCTAATCTAGGAAGAAGTTTTCAAAAAACTCCTTGATATTATAAAGCTGCTGAAAGAAGCAAAAACTATTTGAAAATAGTAGTAAATTTAGCATAGAATTTCTTTTATGAAAATATTTGAAAACGAAGGTATTCAGCCATCAGCAACTAAGAAAAAGTAGAAGACATTGATGCTAAAAAGAAAAGAAGATGAAATCTGAAAGTAAAGAGCTCCAGGTCCAACACAAAGCAGCTGTGTGAGACTTCAGAAGTATCTCCTGCTGATCAAGACCAAACCAAGTGAAAAGTAAAGAAAAAGGAGAGAAAAGAAAAAGAGGAGGAAAAAAAACAAAAAAAAGTGACTTGGTTTGCATTGATTAAAAATTATATTGTAAATAAAGCAAAACTATTTTGGTATGGTTTTGCAGGCTAGCTTAGTGCAGCCCCAGTGCAGGCATAAACCTTATCTGGTAAGGTGACCACTTTTGGGCACCCTAGGGTAGCCAAGAGATGTCAGATTTGTAGCTTAGATAGTTAATATATGTATATTTATACTTTGATCTAATAAAGATACTAGCGAGGCTGCCAACAAATTAAAAAAAAAATAAAAAAAATATCTATTAACTGATTTATTGATACAGTTAACTCTGGATATAACAAACCTTTTTATAATGAACTCTGGATATAACGAACTCAAAATTTTTAAATTTTAATAGTAATTCGGTATAACAAGAGCTGCGGCTTTTAAGAAAACATAGTAATTTGATATAATGAACTTTTTTTTTTAGCCAGAATCTAGGGTTTAGTATAGAAAGAGTTGACTGTATATATATCTTATTATACAGAATAGCACAATAAAAATTTGTGGATTTAGGTTCTATAAAGTGTAATATCTATACAATATTAAATTATTATATACTAGTATTATGGTGATATATAGTATATAGTAAACTTGTATAGAAATAAAGGTAAAGAAAATGATCAATCATTATCTTGTGTACATGATACATATGATGAGCAAGTGATTGATCAGATTGAGTAATAATCAATTATGCAACTATTGATATTACATAATAGTATACTGAAGTAAGGTTCTCAGTATGTATAAAATATTAAGTAAATTTATGTAGTAATATAAAGTCAAACAATTATATAATCATAAGAGCAAATTATGATATAAGTAATGTGATCTAAAATATGTATATAGAGGAAGCGATTGTAATAATAGAGTTAGTAGTTAGAATCTGTCTCTCTTAATTAATTAATAAAGTTTATTTGAGTAGTAAACAAAATACTTATCTTAATATAAACTAAAAATTAGTTATAGCAAAATGATTAAGTGCTTACCATTTGGACTAGGTTATTTTGTGACGAAAGTTATAGATTAATCTGCAATACAAAAACCTGAGCAGATTATTATTAATCTTGCCAACTAATTATATTAACGATCTATAAAATAGACTTAGTATGGTGATATTTGAATAGTAGTACAGAAAAAGAAGAAGACATTAGTAAGAATAAAAATAAAGTATCTAATAAAGATCTAAAGCCTGATACACCAAGTTGTGAAATAAGTTTATTCAAATAGTTCTGAGACAATGTGAGTTGTAATGATTCTGCAGAGAAAGTAGAAAATATAGAAAAAAGATAGTTAGTATAGATAAAAAAATAGTCGATAAAGAAAATAAATAAATATGAGTAAATGAAAGTAGAAAACTTATCTGAAAGTATTGATGTAAAAGAAAACAGAAATAATAGAGTTCAAGTATTGGAATATCACCAAAAATCTGCTGATGAGAAAATATTAGTAGTACAGGTCATTGTAATGATAAGAAAAGTAAAATTATAATAGATGAAAACGAAGCACTTATTTGTTACCAGGATGCTGATATTACCAATAAAGATGAAAAAGAAATATTTAAGAAAAATTCAGAGCATATTGAATATAAAGAATAGATTGAAGAACCTAAATTAGAAAATAATCATAGATTAGTATTTGACTGGGAAAAATAATTAAAAGTAGTAATCCAATATTCTTTTTTTTTTTTTTTTTT